TCTGGGTTCACTTTGCGTGGCAGGCGTGGCACTTTCGGCACTAGGCGGGCTCTGGTGGCGCACCGGGTTCCCAGCTGACGCTGTGGACGCCGCAGCTCTTTGCGTGGCAGGTGTGGCAATTGGTGACATCCACCTTCACTTTGCGTGGCAGGCGTGGCACTTACGGCACTGGGCTAGCTGTAGCTCATCCACCTTCACTTTGCGTGGCAGGCGTCGCACTTACGGCACTTTGTGTGGCATGCGCGGCACTTGGTGACATCCACCTATGGGTCATCTCCTCGTGTGGCCTGGGCACTTGTGAACTATTTATACATGGGTCATCCCCTCGTTGACCAGGTGCACCCTACCGAAGGCACAGAGAGGCGCTTCGCTTTGCGGTTGATTCCACCTGCCAGTGCACTGTCGTCCTCTACCACGAGCTGATCCTGCGAGCGGCCGCTGACATGGATGCTGCTCTGCTGGAGGGAGTCCAAGATATGCAGCCGGTGCGTGCCCAACTCCGTGATCTCTTTCGCGCTGCGCAGTGGCTGTGTCGCTTCACCTTCCGGGAGAATGATTACCAGCAGACATTGGAGTTGGAATGTCGACACCTGACGCCTTGTCTGCATGCCAGCCGAGCTGAAGCTGTTGTCGCACCTGAAGCCCTGAACAGGAAAGTGTCCCATTGCCAGATGAACAACGGTTGCCCAGTGGCGCCATTGGCTATACATTGCAGGTGGATGCCCAGCTTGGCTTGATTTCGGTGGATGACGTGGAAGCAAGCTTCGTCAGATGCTTGGTGGCCTTCAATGACAAGCAGCCCCCCGACCATTGCAGGAAGCTCTGCAGCAGGACAACACGTCCACCTCGGCAATGCGCGTCAAGCGCTCCGTGGACTGCCTATTGTCTGCCCCGGCTGCCACAGGTGCGCCGAGCCGGGTGAAGCTGCGCTGCGCTGGCCCTGCATCGGCGGTGGCATGGCTGCTGCGAGGCAACGTGGGCGAGACGCATTTCGTGGTTCTTGCTCATATACCTCAGATGCTGGCGAATGGAGCGTGCTGTGGCACGTGCCCGTAGAAGCACATCGTGTGGAGGGAGTCAAGAACTTCATGCTGGGGATCTATGAATCTGATGTCAAAAGCCCACAAACACTCACCTATACCTATACGACCAGGCATGGACTCCAATGAAACGTCTTGCAAGCGTCATGGAGACAGCGCCGGAGGACGCGTCGATAGTGCGTCGATGACTGAGGATGCCACGTATATAAGGAGGCCTGCGGCGCACGCGACTGGATTGCCGCGCCGTGCGAAGATTCCTTGTCGCTGCTAGCGGCTCTGCGGTGCGCACGCCTAGATTGCCGTGCCGTGCGAAAATCTGGCGTCGCTCCTACAATTTTGATATCGCGCTCAGTGCCGAAGAAAAACGGCTGCTAAATGACATGGCATGTGCGCGCGCATGATCCGATGCTGTGAAGCGGGACGTGTGGTGAAAGCGTTTGCTGCCAGGTACCGCCTTCATCGCGCAGATCCAGCACTCTGGTGCGTCGTGATCTTTGATCGTGCTGTTGCGGTTGATTGTGTTCACGCAGATGCTGCCGTTCCTGAATATCATGTTCTGTGGAAAAAACGTGCATGCGGCTGATATACCTGCATACATACATACGTATAGACTTAACTCTATCCCCTCACACAACTGTTTTTACGTCTCGAACCTTTTCACCACCTCCTTTGTCTTTCCTTCCTTCCCTGTCACAACTTCTGCACGCACACACACACACACGCGCGCACACACATACACCTCACACACAACTTATCACCACACAACGTACTCACACTTACTCTTCCACACACAACTTACTCCACACCAATCCTTCACCATCTCTTTTCTCTTTCCTGCTTTCCCCATGCCATCTTTACCTTTCTATTGCTGCTTGTTGGAAGAAGTTGACATGTGGGGTTATCCGGTCCTTTAATTCGTAATGGAAAGGGAGGAAATCATAGGACCGGATAACCCCACATGTTAACAACTTCTCCAGACTTAGACTGAGCATAGAAAAGCAACAAGGGAAGAGGAAGTATGAGAGTGATGGAGGGGTGATGGTGGGTGAGTTTGTGTATGTATGTATGTATGTATGTATGTATGTATGTATGTATGTATGTGCATGTACAGGTGTGTCACTTTTGGTATGTGTAAGAGGCAGTTTGTTATATATGAGATGTACATGCGGATGTTGTACGTATGTGTATGTGTGTGCGTGTGTGAGGTGATATTATTTTCGTGTGATGTGACGTTGGGTGCCAGTAATGTAAATGTATGCAAACGTAAATATTATATATTGATCTTGTTGCAAGCGGCGGAGACCAAGGGACGCCAGGGGCGTACATCCGACCCCCTGCAGAACACCCAGCGCCGCACCTGCCACGCAAAAGCCACAGGCAGAGCACCTAGCGCCGCACCTGCCACGCAAAAGCCACCGGCAGAGCGGCGGAGACCAAGGGACCCCAGGGCGTACATCCGACCCCTTGCACTGCACCAAGTCCCACGCTTGCCACGCAAAAGCCACCGGCAGAGCGGCGGAGACCAACGGACGCCATGCAGGGCATACGCCCGACCCCTTGCAGTGCACCAAGTCCCACACCTGCCACGCAAAAGCCAGCGGAGACCAACGGACGCCATGCAGGGCATACGTCCGACCCCTTGCAGTGCACCAAGTCCCACACCTGCCACGCAAAAGCCAGCGGAGACCAACGGACGCCATGCAGGGCATACGTCCGACCCCTTGCAGTGCACCAAGTCCCACACCTGCCGCGCAAAAGCCATCGGCAGAGCGGCGGAGACCAAGGGACGCCATACATCCGACCCCTTGCAGTGCACCAAGTCCCACGCCTGCCACGTAAAAGCCACCGGCAGAGCGGCGGAGACCAAGGGACGCCAGGGCGTACATCCGACCCCTTGCAGTGCACCAAGTCCCACGCCTGCCGTAGACCAAGGGACGCCAGGGCGTACATCCGACCCCTTGCAGAGCACCAAGTGCCGCACCTGCCGCGCAAAAGCTACCGGCAGAGCGGCGGAGACCAAGGGACGCCAGGGCGTACATCCGACCCCTTGCAGTGCACCAAGTCCCACGCCTGCCATGCAAAAGCCACCGACAGAGCGGCGGAGACCAAGGGACGTCAGGGCGTACATCCGACTGCACCAAGTCCCACGCCTTCCACGCAAAAAGCCACCGGCAGAGCGGCGGAGACCAAGGGACGCCAGGGCGTACATCCGACACCCAAAAACGTTTCATCCATTGCTGGTTCCTATGTGAAGCAGTCAGTCTTGAGGTTCTGTTTTTTTTCGCAATGGAAAGGGAGGAAAAAAACACAACCACCCAAACGTGGTCCAGTATTGGTGCCTCTTCTGTGAAAAAATGTAATTTTTAGCAGCAGTTTTCATCTTTCTCGGACAGGATGTGCCTGGATGTGCCATCTTAGTGTTCCCGGGCAACGGTGTTCCCGGGCAACCCCCCGTCAATCCGTCAAAAGTGTCCAAACGTTGTTTTTGATGGGTTTTGCATGTTTTTGGCAAAATGTTGCAAAAATTGTTTTTCTTTTCAACACTAAGATGGCATAAGTTCGATTTCTTTGAATTGATCGTATCGATGCTGCTATTCCTATCGGGGCAGGCATGCTAAGATGGCAAAACAAGGGCCACCCACCTATTCGTATGCCATCAAAAAAAAATACATTCGCTTGATATCTTTCCGGGTGCAGTGAAGATGCCATCTATTCGTGATCCCCTTTGTGTATCCCCGTTGGGGGTCCCTGGCTGAAAACCATAGCCCGGAGACCCATGGTTTTCGCCCAATGACCAAGGGCGAAGAACCTATCCAGCTTTATATATATATATATGATATCTAGTGCCCCATGTTTTCAGCCTTTTTCACATTTTTATCTTATATCTTAGGCTTCTAGGTTTTTAGCCCGGGAACATGGTGATTTTTTTTGTTTCATGGTATTGTGGTGACCCAGGTTTTTCGCCTTTAGAGGACAAGTAGTCCAACATGTTGTTCCCACGTTTTCGACCCAGATGATAATGATGATGACGATGATGATACAAGATTAGAAATCACACATATTTCTCACATCACAAACATGAATGAAGATTTTGAACAGGATGCGTGAGAGATGTTGAAAGATCTTGGTTGTAGATTCAAATTGGGTTGAAGTCAGAAGCTGTCAGCACTCCGGGGTGGTGGGTGCAGACTTTGGAGTGAAAACCTTAGGGCCGTGGGTCAAGACTTTTCCTTGTGTATCTTGTGTCAAACAAATCTAGAGCAACCATGATGATTCGATAAAATTTTGTTCTCCCCCACAAGATTGAATAGCGGGGCTAAAAACCTGGGGGCTGGGATCTTGGTTGTAGATTCAAATGGGGTTGAAGTCAGAAGCTGTCAGCACTCCGGGGTGGAGGTGGGCCTAGATTGCGGAGTGACAAAGCTCGGTTAAGCCATGGTGTGGGGGCGGGGTCGTGGGGAACAAGAAAAATGTGCTTTTGTAGTGCCTTAGGTTTTTGGCCTTTTGTTGGGTTTTATGTTGGCATGTTGGGACCTAGGTTTTTTTCCTTGGGGCAGCCTTTATCTTAAAAATATCCGAAATGTAAGGTACCCCTTTTCAGCCCCTGGTCACATGAACCTTGGTTACTGGGGATTCTGCCCGTTTTCTGGCGGAAACCTTGGCTCCGGGTGGAGAGGTATTTTGTGTTTGAATTATATGTATATATTCATCATCGGCATCATCACCATCATCAACATCACAACATCATTGTTTTAATGCATATATTTCATTTAGGAAGGAACCCTTCGTGTGTGTGTGTGACTTCTGCTTGGAATGAATTTGATGTTTGTTTCCTTGTTTCCTTTCGAACGACACTGTCGTCTAGTTTTGTGCTCACATGCATTATTTTGCACATGTGTCTTCCGATGTGTGAGGTCATGACAGATCATGTCACAATCGTTGCACATCATGGTTTTCGAGGTTTCACCCCAGCTACAGCCATCGGCGCGCCAGTGAAGGTGGAGCTCTTCGATTGCACACTGTGAAGGACAAAAACCAAGGCCTGGAAAGCAGATGAAAGGGAAGAGTCCTCGCTTATGCCTGCGAATTTGTCTCGCTTGTGCCTGCGAGGCCTTTTCCTTTCAGTTAGCAACTGCAGAAGCATCAGCATCATGTGCAGCTTGCACACTTATATCAAGACAGAATAGTGTAATAACTTTCTTGCCCCAGGTCCCATGCCCACATGTCCTCAAGTCAAACCCTAAAAGGATGTATAGTTATAAATTATATAGAGAGTCCCATGTCCGCCTAACCCACCCCAGGTCCCATGTCCCCATGTCCCCTATGTCCCCAAGTCAAACCTTAAAAGGTTGTCCGGTATAGAGAGGCTGAAGACTGTGCTTGCCCCCATGTCCCCGCAACCCACCCCTCCCAGGTCCCCATGTCCCCAAGTCAAACCCTAAAAGGTAGTGTCTTGATGGTCAAAGCCAATGTTCAGCGGCGCAAGTGAGACACTTTGGCCGGCGCAAGTGAGATTCCACGCGATGAAAGCTGGAAAGTGTCACCTAAAATGATTAAGATATATTTAGATGGTAAGGTGTCCATCTCCAGCGTCCTTGCGACATGCGTAGGACATGCTTAGCACAACAGTGGAAAACGTGCACTTTTCCATGCTGAGGCAAAAACATGGTGGAGGTGCCAGGTGGTGGTGCAAACTGGGCAATCTTTCGGACGCCAGACGTGCGGCAAGAAGTGACAAAGGCCTTTGATTGCCACGAACTGCCCTGCAGTTTGCATGTGGTTTGATTCTTTTTCGCTTTGAATTCTTCGGCACCATGCAAAATTATTAAAGCAACTGGACGTCGCCACAAGCTGCAAAAAATCAATGCAGCAAATAGGCCCAGTTCGCTTGACTTGGTAAGATTACCCAAGAGTGTCTTCCAGAAGATGCCCTTAAATACTAGTAGCAGCATGTAGCATCGATCTTTTGCCATGCGCAGTTTCAGTGACTTCACAGGTGAATCTTCCATGTGGACGCTGGTGCATCACGGTGTGTGCAGAAGATGCCGAAGTGGCCCGAAAACTGCGGCCAGACCAAGGAGTCCTCAGCTGTGCAGGTCGCATGCCATGATGGATTGACATGGCAAAATAAGTGTGCGGACATGCTCATGTACTGCAGCATTTGTTGATGGAGAGATGGTGAGATGGAGAAATGCAGACATGGAGAAATGGATAGAAATGGAGAAATAGAGAGAGAGAGATTTTTCAGGCGAAACTACAATGGAAAGCCACGCAGCCTCTCGCGAGGCGCACGGCACAGTAGGGAGGGGTCCAACCAGTTGCATAAGATCAATGTTCAGCAGCTGGCTGCCCGCCTTTTGCACGAAGTTCTCCCATTGCCTATTGCTTTGCGGCAGGGGGAAACCAAGGCCGCGCCGTGTTGTTTCAAATTTTATCGAACAAGTCTAGCAACACACGACCTTTGGAAAGGCAGTGGAAGCCACTTTGATAAGATAATGTCACCTCAATGATTCCCAATGCCTGGCGTAGCTTAGTCGTAGAGTCAAATATGTCCATTGGCATTCCATTGGCAGGTTTCATGCGATTGCTGCAGCTTTGCTGCCGGTGATGGCGTTTTGCTGACCTGTCCTGGGAGTCACCGCATTTGCCGAAACTGCCTCTTTGGCCGCACTGGCAGTTGGAAACACATATGTTATATACATTGGTATACTGTGGATGGGAATGTGTTTTTTTTGGTGTTTTTCTTCTTATTATTCTTGGCACAATGGAGCTGTCTGGAATTCCTCCACCGAAAGGATATCAATTTTGTACGCCGATAATTTCTAGCCTTTCCAGTGTTGAGTTTCGAAGATAGTTCGAGAAGAACACTCGAGTCCCAGCATCATTATGTATTCTTTACATTTGTTGACTCTGGGCTCAAAGTTCCAAAGGGTTTCAGCATGTTTCAGCCTTGGAGCGAATTCCCCTCATGGCGGAGCCGTTGATCAAGAAGGAGCTTGAGGGTGAGCCCTGTTTGGAAGTGATTGGCGCTGGATGGGGGCGTACAGGAACAAACAGCGTCAAGATTCTTGCTTGCAAAAGGCGCAATCAGTCTATGGCCCTTGTTTTTGTTTACATGCCGACTAAGTTTTAAAAGATTGGATCACACTATCACACCGACGCATGTTGATTTGCATTGGATTTTTTCTCCAGCAACACGGTTTCAAAGTTTCAAGTGTTCGGTTTTTGAAAGACTTGAGCTTGCCCATGCTTGCCCCCTTTTCCCGTGCTTTTTGTATGGGGCGGTTTGTTGGTGGCAAGCATGTTGCATGTTGCAATTGCAATAATTTAGTATGTTTTAGTTCTTGTGTGTTTGCAAGGTATTTTTGGAAGTAAAATAGGCCAAAACACCACACATGCCGCACATGCGTTTGTTTTTGGAAGCTAGGACACATAAAACATTGAACATTGGACATGTCAATGGAGTGGTAGAAAATGTGGCAAAGCACGGTGTTATTTCTTCCTTTTAGAGGTTCAAAAACCGTGGTGTATTCAGGCTAGTTTTACTTCGGCATTGACATGCACATACCAGCGGTATTTTGACGGTGTGGGGAGCTAGAACATGTGCCACCTGTGGTGCCCCACTGCATGGGCCATTTGAACGTGGCCCGCTCATAGCAGGATACGACAAAAACAGTGCCAGCTCTGGACAGGGGCTGGCTTTCCTCGCCACCATTTTCTTCTCAGGCTGCTGCTGAAACTAGTTATATACTGCGCAGGCCAATGCTCCACTCTATATTTTGCATGCTGTATATACCACACGCCTGTTCAATTTTTCATGACCTTGCACGACGCTCAAAGGATCGCGCTTGAGAAGCTTCTGGATGGGCCTTCCTATCATATGTTTGAATGCGCCGTCAGACCAGACTTCCAGAAGTGGATCGACGCCTATGCTGGGAAACCAGATTGGAAAGGAATCTTCACTCATCCAGATGGAGACAGATTTTACAAAGCGACCGTGGACTACCCAGCCTGCGGCATGTACAAGGACCCTGAAGGCAAAACCTAGGATGTAGAGCCCACAAGAGCAGATAGAGCTCACAAGGGCATTACATTTGGATTTGTTTTTGTTTGACTTTTCTGAAAGCCGATAATTCACGCGCATTTGTTGCTGTGTTCACCAAGTCGTGACATGTCCTAGCATGTATATATGAATAAGTATAATAGGCGGTATTGATACCAGTAAAGTACCGCACAAGGCGGTGGCGGAAGTTTCAAAAATAGGAAACCTATAGGAGAGATTGGCTGTTGTGAATCAGGGATGGCAGAGCGAATCCACTGATGGACCGAAAGGTGCTTGAGGTCTCCTCTCTTTCTCTCTCTTTCTCTGACTATCTACTTACCTACCAGCCTATCTTCTATGTATCTATCTATCTATCGATCTATCTATCTCTCTCTCTTTCTCTCTTTCATCTCATTACCTATCTACCTATCTACCTATCTACCTATCTACCTATGTACCTATCTACCTATCTATCTATCTATCTATCTATCTATCTCTCTCTCTCTCTCTCTTTCATCTGTCTATCTGTCTAGCTGTCTACCTGTCTGTCTATCTATCTGTCTATCTGTCTACCTGTCTATCTGTGGTGCAGTGTCATTCAGTGTAATGTAGTGTAGTGTAAGTGTAGTGTAGTGGAATGTAGTGTAGTGTAGTGTAATTTAGTGTAGTGGAGTGTAGTGGAGTGTAGTGTAGTGGAGTGTAGTTGTGTAGTCGTAGTTGTAGTTGTAGTTGTAGTGTAGTGGAGTTTAGTGTAGTGCAATGTAGTGAAGTGTAGTGGAAGATAGTGTAGTGGAAGGTAGTGTAGTGTAGTGTAGTGGAGTGTAGTGGAGTGTAATGTAGTGTAGTGTAGTGTAATTTAGTGTAGTGGAGTGTAGTGGAGTGTATTGTAGTGGAGTGTAGTTGTGTAGTTGTAGTTGTAGTTGTAGTGTAGTGGAGTGTAGTGTAATGTAGTGAAGTGTAGTGGAAGGTAGTGCAGTGTAGTGTAATGTAGTGTAGTGCGGTGGAGTGTAGTGTAGTGTAATGTAGTGTAGTGTAGTGTAATTTAGTGTAGTGTAGAGTGTAGTGGAGTGTGTAGTGGAGTGTAGTTGTGTAGTTGTAGTTGTAGTGTGTGTAATGTGTGGAGTGGTAGTGTGTAGTGTAATGTAGTGTAGTGAAGCGAAGCGACATCGGAACCTCCAAAAGTGGTCCGAACCCCTGGTGTTTTTAACATTTTGACTTCGAAATGTGCTTCACGCCACAACGGCGTGCACTTTTTCGACATCTGAACTTCCAAAAGTGGCGCGAACATTTAGTGTTTTGTACATTTTCACTTCGAAATGTGCATCGCGCCACGACGGCGTGCACTTTTTCGACATCTCAACTTCCAAAAGTGGTCCGAAGCTGGTGTGTTTTGTACATTTTCACTTCGAAATGTGCTTCGTGCCACAACGGCGTGCACTTTTTCGACATCTCAACTTCCAAAAGTGGTCCGAGAATGGTGTGTTTTGTACATTTTGAGTTGGAAATTTGCTTCGCGCCACAACAGCGTGCACTTTTTCGACATCTCAACTTCCAAAAGTGGTCCGAGAATGGTGTGTTTTGCACACTTTGACTTGGAAATGTGCTTCGCGCCACAACGGCGTGCATTTTTTCGACATCTCAACTGCCAAAAGTGGTCCGAAGCTGGTGTGTTTTGTACATTTTGACTTGGAAATGTGCTTCGCACCACAACGGCGTGCAACTTTTCATCTCTCATCTCCGCAGATGTCTCCGCACCCGCCGCTTTAGCGAGCCTACTTTTCAACCCTCCGGAGCCACAAAACCACGAAAAAACACAGTGTTTCGCGACTTTTCGACCTTTTCGCGCACCTGCATCTTCTTTCTTCTGATCTTTTCTCTTCTGACTCTTCTCCCTGCTGACTGCTTTTTCATCTCTCCATATTGTCGGAAGTTTGACTTCCAAACTTCCTTCGATAATGTGGATAGATCATATATCAGATATTCATAGATATAATTCCTTCTATGAACATGCCATGAGTTTGCACCATCCCAGTTTAATCCTTTTTGGGTGGTGGTTCTTTACTTCTTTACCTTGAACGCGTGCCTCTCAGGGAAGTTGGGCGCCAAGATTTCTCAAAGCAAAAGCGCTATTTCCGTAGAAAACTGTTGGATTCTACATAGGTGTGCCCCTAAATCATCAATTTTGATATTTCCATTAGAAACTATTCATTTTTGGGGATCCACCATTTCAAGAAACTTCCATTTCAGGCCCCTATTCATCCCAATTCTACATAGATCTCAAAGATCCTGGAAGCACTTGACCATCGTCACACGTTTGCGGGCAATCTTTTCTGTTCTTGTCTTGTGTATTTGTTTCAGATATCAAAACAGCTGCGGTAACAAATGATTTTAAATGCAAACTCAAGCTTGCTTAAGTGGGTGCTGCAAGTACTCAAAACCGGATTGCAACTTGGAAACCCAACACCATGGGACCAAATACCAAATAAACATCTTTGTGCTGTATCACCATATCGTCATGTCATAAAAACAATGCCATATCATAAACAGAAATACCGGCTTCAGAAACACCATCAACAGAACGACATCGAAAATTTAACAGCGATTCCCAGTAGTACCGCACAAGGCGGTGGTGGAAGTTTCAAAAATAGGAAACCTATAGGAGAGGTTGGTTGTTGTGAATCAAGGATGGCAGAGCGAAGCCACGGATGGATTGAAAGGTGCTTGATCTCTCTCACTCTTTCTCTCTCTCTCTTTCTCTGCCTATCTACCTACCTACCTATCTATTTTCTATGTATCTATCCAGCGATCGATCTATCTATCTATCTCTCTCTCTCTCTTTCATCTGTCTATCTGTCTATCTGTCTAGCTGTCTACCTGTCTATCGATCGATCTATCTATCTATCTTTCTATCTATCTATCTATCTGTTTGTCTGTCTATCTGTCTACCTGTCTATCTATGGTGCAGTGTCATCCAGTCTAATGTAGTGTAGTGTACTGTAGTGTAGTGTAGTGGAGTGTAGTGGAATGTAGTGTAGTGCAGTGTAATGTAGTGTAGTGTAGTGTAATTTAGCGTACTGTAAATTAGTGTAGTGGAGTGTAGTTGAGTGTACTTATCTATCTGTCCGTCTATCGATCTATCTATTTATCTATCTATCTGTCTGTCCATCTATCTATGTATCTATCTATGTGTCTATCTATCTATCGACCTATCTATGTATCTATCTATCTGTCTATCTATCTATCAATCTATCTATCTATCTATCTATCTATTCATCTATCTATCTCTCTCTCTATCTATCTATCTATCTATTCATCTATCTATCTATCTCTCTATGTACCTATCTATCTATCCATGTATCGATCTATGTATCTAGCGATGTATCTATCTATCTATCTATCTATCTATCTCTCTCTCTCTCTCTTTCATCTGTCTTTCTGTCTAGCTGTCTACCTGTCTATCTGTGTTGCAGTGTCATTCAGTGTAATGTAGTGTAGTGTAATTTAGTGTAGTGGAGTGTACTGGAGTGTAATGTAGTGTAATGTAATGTACTGGCGTGTAGTGTAGTGTAATGTCCTGTAGTGTAGTGTCTTGAAGCGCAGCGACATCTGAACCTCCAAAAGTGGCGCGAACGTGTGGTGTTTTGGACATTTTGACTTCGAAATGTGCTTCGCGCCACAACGGCGTGCACTTTTTCAACATCCGAACCTCCAAAAGTGGCGCGAACATGTGGTGTTTTGTACATTTTGACTTGGAAATGTGCTTCGCGCCACGACGGCGTGCACTTTTTCGACATCTCAACTTCCAAAAGTGGTCCGAAGCTGGTGTGTTTTGTACATTTTGACTTGGAAATGTGCTTCGCGCCACAACGCCGTGCACTTTTTCGACATCTCAACTTCCAAAAGTGGTCCGAGAATGGTGTGTTTTGTACATTTTGACTTCAAAATGTGCTTCGCGCCACAACGGCGTGCACTTTTTCGACATCTCAACTTCCAAAAGTGGTCCGAAGCTGGTGTGTTTTGTACATTTTGACTTGGAAATCTGCTTCGCGCCACAATGGCGTGCACTTTTCTGACATCTCAACTTCCAAAAGTGGTCCGACACTGGTGTGTTTTGTACATTTTGACTTGGAAATTTTCCATCTCTCATCTGGCCAGATGGCTCCGCACCCGCCGCTTTAGCGAGCCTACTTTTCGACCCTCCGGAGCCCCAAATGATTGGAAAAACACAGTGTTTCGCGACTTTCCTACCTTTTCGCGCATCTGCATCTTCTTTCTTCTTACTCTTTCTCTTCTACTCTTCTTTCTTCTAATCTTCCTCTTCTCTCTGCCTCTTCCCTGCTCTGCTTTTCATCTGTCCATATTGTCGGAAGTTTGACTTCTAAACTTCCTTCGATCAAGGTCCTCGTAGGGAGCTATGATTGCGATACCTGTTCAATATCAAATTTATATCAAATAAGTGGCAATGCGTAACCGGCCAGTCTCCTTTCACAAGAAGGAGGAGCTCCGTACTAACTGTCTGCTTGTTCGGGGGAAAATTTGGTGCCTGAGAAACTTTGCAGCCTGAGACAAGTTTTTTGCGGTGAGTGCTGATCCCACACCTGTCTAACATATCCCTACTGTTTGATTTTTTTCGCCTGGGAAGGAACGTGTCTTTGTTCGTAAAATATTTGGAGATTGTTATCTCATGAACCATTACTATACGAATCTAATTCATCAATATTTACAATCACCTCCTCGATCCTGAGAATCCGGGATGCCCACCCAGGAATTGTACAATTCCGGGTTGCTTTTTTGGTCCGCCCCTTTTTTCCTTCTTAATGTTGTCCATCTTATTTTGCCAGAATTACCAGTAGTACCGCACAGGGCGGTGGCGGAAGTTTCAGAAATTGGAAACCTATAGGAGAGGTTGGTTGTTGTGAATCACGGATGGCAGAGCGAAGCCACTGATGGACCGAAAGGTGCTTGAGGTCTCTTCTCTTTC